AAAAGAATATATATATATATATATATATATATATATATATATATATATATATATATAATCAAAAACATCTTAAAAATCTTGATATTCATTAGGAGTATCACTTAACATCTTTCCACCATTAAAAATGGGTGTGGCATATATAGCAAAATATGATATTTTTTTTGCCATATGCATAAAAGATTTTGTACCTACTAATAAAGATTTGAATGTACTCAACTTAGATATTTTTACTTAATTAATAGAATTTTGGATCGAACTACAAGATAAATTAAAGTTATAAGAAATCCAATCTATTTGAGGATTATACTTTTCTAACCATGATAATTCTAAAATAATTAGGTTAAAGGGAGATCTTATCATATTAAATATTACTATATTATTATTATTTTTAATTGCTATATTAAAAAAATAAAGTCATAAATAATATCTCTAGAAGTTAATAAATGACCATCTATGACTTCTACATGTATGGGTTTAGTTTTCTTGACTAATGGTATTTCTTGTTTTTTGACAAAGTCTTTGTTTATAAAACAAATTGAGGCTCTTGAATCTAATAAGGGAAAAATTATGATTTTTAGGTCGTAAATACACATCTATTGAAAAACAAGGCAAGGAATCTTAGAAGATAATAAGACCTTTACTAGGTATTGCACATGATTCAAGTCGCATGGTCTTTGTTGTAATTAGAAAAATTTGTTTTCCAACACATTGTCTTCTTTTGCAACCATACTCTTTATTTTGTAATTGTATTGCTTCTTTGAACAATGTTGAGCAATTTGCTTAGCTTCTCCATAATATAAGCATAAACCTTCTTGACAACATCGAGTCTATTTTTGCTCAATGAGAGATTTAAAATGTATTATACCAATTTGCATTGATTTCAGCTTTAAAGAATAAGTTTCTAAAAGCTTAGAAATTGTTATTATTACTTGAATTATTCTTTTTTAGCCAAATTTTTATTCTTAATGCCTTAGAAATATTCAATTATTGCATGAAATTGCTTGAATTATAAATTATTTCAAAGAATCTATTTTATGCATTAATAATAATAAATCTTTGATGTTATCCTTAAATCTATATTGAAATTGATTGATAAGGACTTTGTCATTCTAATCTACATTATAAGCAAGGTTTTGGTATTCAAAAATATATATAGTGGCTGATTGTGATTCTTATTGTAAAGATAAGAACTTAGATTGTACTACTCTTTTTTTATTATTTTTTCTAAATGTAGCCGTAAATACTTCTAAGAATGAATTCAAATCATGAAGCAATTGTAAATTCTTTTCTATCAAAGGTGCAAACTAATTGAGAGTACTTTTTTAAAAAAAAAATGTGTTGATGAACCCAACTTGGGTAAATCCATCAGAATATTAGAAAAGATATAATTCTAAATAAAGCTTAATTTTTTGCAAAAATCCTCAAAATTTTGATCTTGGTCCACCAAACTTCTAAAGAATTCTAATCTTTGCCTCCCTTATACTTATAAGAGGAATTTTTTTTGAATTTGGTTGTAAGGTTGATCTATTTTTTTCCCTCAATTATATAACTTCTTAGTGTAGACATTGAACTTCTTCTATAGGTGTAAAAATAATATTTCTATGGTTAGCATTGGTGATGTATGAAATTTCTATTCTAAGAGTATTGATAAGCTTATGAAGATTTACAATAGTTGTAAATCTATTCTCACTTCTATTAAGTATAGCATCCATGATTTTTTCTTCCATTTCAAATAGCTTAATAAATTTACAAGTCAAATTAGATAAAGATAATATACAACTTCTAATATGAAGTGAAATTTTTTACAAAGAGAAGTGATCCGCTTTCTTTAAGAAAAAATCAATGTTAGAAAATTAAGTTATTTATTTAAAGATAGGTAGTCCATAATTCTCAAAATACAACAATAGAAATAAGGTAATTCACTCACTTCTAAAAAAAGATAAGAAAAATGAGTTAGCACTTTTATCAAACTATCAAAGACATGAATGTCAAAGAAAAAAAACTCAATACATTCTTGTGTCACTTAAAAAGACTAGAAAATCATTCGAAGATGGTAATATATTGAAATAGAATGACTATTGTTAAAGACAAAAAGACTAGAAAGTCTTGAAATAGGAATAAAGATTAAAAAAGTATTGACAAGAGTTAAAAAGGCTTCTCTTTTACTTTTATATATACTATTTGACTAAGAGCTATGTAGCAATGTTCTATAGGACCTCAAACATGTGTTGACTTAGTAAGACACATATCTTAACTTACAAGGCAAGTTTTCTATATGTGAGCCATATAATTAGATTATTCTACAAGCTATCAATATGTATGACATATGGTTAACTTGTTGATTAAGTTTCCAACCTATTAATCAACTACAAACATATATAAAGTCAGAACTCCATCTATAAAGCTTTTAGGAAGCTTTTCTAAAAGAAATTATGAAATTAATCTACTTTTACCTACTTTTACCTAATTATATAGGCAATTATTGGAGTAAATATGTATGACCTTGACACTCTAATGCTTGAATGGTATTCTACCATTGAAGAAGTAATATGATTTGGTATAGATGTTGAAGCAATTCCAATCATCTTTATAACTTTACTTTCTTTTAATCTTATTTTTTCTTGTGGTGATAAATTAAATTGATGCATTGCAAGTATTAACTCCATTATTTTTTCTTGCATTTATGCAATTATATTCTTTATTTCAATGAGCTTAAATATAACACAATGAAAAAAAATCTAATATTATTCAAAAAAAAGTAAAAGAGATGACTTGAAAACAAAAAAAATTAAAAACCAGACCAATTTAGAAGTGGGTAATCCACAACTTCTAATATGCTTATGTCTTATTAAGAAAAAAAGATAATCTACTCTTAATTAAATAAACACAAAGCTTTCATATTGTAAATATACTCTTGTTAATTTGTCGAAGACAAGAATTTAAAAGAGATACGTAAACAAGTAAGATGTGTATAGAAGAGAGATGATAAAATCAAAATAAAGAAGTATGTATATTTAAGAAGAAAATAGAATGAATATTACTAAAGTCTAGAAAAAATAAAGACTCTTAAAACTAAACTAAAAGTAAAAAAAAAATAACAAAAGTAAAGAAGACATCATTCATGTTTCTATATATACTATCTAATTAGGAACTATATGATGACGTTATATATGACCTTTAATATGTGTACAACTTATAGGATATATATCTAACTTGCACAACAAGTTTCATGTATGTGCGCCATATATCCAATTTGTAGCATAAATCACCAATATGTGCAACATGTAGCTAACTTGTTAGCAAAGTTTTCAACCAATCAATTACCTATAGACATGTATACAAGCAAAGTAATATCTATAAAGCTTCTCTACAAGATATTATTGAATTTAATTATTTTTATATATTTCTACTTATCCATATTATCTATGTAATTATTGATGTAAATTTAGATATTTGTATTAATAAGATATATAAGTTATAGCCTCACTATAGTTTAAGTTCAAAGAATAGTAATACTAATAGACTATAGAATAATAATAAAAAACTAAATAATATTATTTTTTAAAATAAAAATTACTATTTTTATTTGATGCTTATATCAAAGATGATTTTGTAAGCACTAACATATTTTTTGAGAAATAAATTAAGTTTTAATGAATAAAAAATTAATATTAGAATTACTTTGTAAGAATATGAGATTCTATAACATATTCAAAATCCAAAAAATAATTTATTTAGTATCATAAGTAAGATAAAATTTCAATAAAATTTCAATGTGTTATCTATGTATAAAAACATATTTATAATTAAAATTCTAATTAAAATTTTAATAATATGTAAATAATATTTTATTTTTTTAATTATTCATAAAAATAACAACTTTAAACTTATTCCAATTTACATGTATTATAATTGTGTAGAGACCTAAATATAATATTTTTTGTAAAAATAGTTAAATTAAGTACAATTACAAAGTTAACTAATCTTATGTTACTTTCATGTTGTATATGTGAAATAACAAAGAATAATTCCTTTTAAAAAAACTAAAATCAAAATAACTATAAAGCTTTAAAGTTGGAGTTTTGGAATTAATATTAGTTGATTAATTATAACTAATTACCTAAAATTTTATTCAACTTTTAATAAATCTAATAATTTAAAAAATAATTATATTGCAACAAGACAATTAAAAAACACACCCATCTCCTTCCCTCTAAAAATATCATAAGCTAACATACATGATTTGCACATATTATATAAGAAAAAAAAAAAAACAAACAAACAAACAAACAAAAACAATCTTTGTACATGCCAACAAAATGTATTAGACAAAAGAAGCAACTAAGAAACCCACTTAATGTAACAACTTGAAGAAGACAATCCATCCTAAATTGCCACACCTTTCTTAAATGGATACCATTTTGTTGGATGTAACCAAGGTATCAATTCAAGGGTTGTTTTGCACAACTCAAAACAAATAATGTTGTTCAAAATTTCAACAAGTGGGTTTGTGAACTATGAACATAGAATTATCTTTCTTCAAAAAGATAATCCTTTCATAGATATCCTTTCACAACAACACTGACTAGCTGGAGTTGCATCCACGTAGAAACATGAATGAAACCTTTGGATATTTCTTATCAACTTAGCAACTTAGGCTTACAAACCAGTTAGCAAGTTGGAATTACTGACATATGTGTTGCTTGAATCACATCCAAGCCACTGGAACTCATGAAATAGGAAGAAGAAAACTATGGTGGTATCCTCAAAGAATGAATGATAAGGAGAATGAAACCAAAGCCATGACTTCTTCACAGGCTTTGCACCCAATTGGAAAACTAGCAAAAGTGTGAGTTTTATACTTCCATCGGCGCACAAAAGGGTAGAGAATGTGCTGGTTCTGTTCCGAAGTTTACCGACCGTGTTCATCGAAGCGAGCGATGGATGCCCTCAGGTTGTTTTTGGCCACGAGATTGTGAGTCTGTTGTAATATCCGGATCGAGAAGGGTATTATCATCCATGGAGCATTATCCACATTGCAGGGAGGAAGGGTCGAGGGCTTGAATGCCACTTCTTCATTTTCCCCCACCTTCTTCCCCCTTCCCGAGGTGCTCTGTCCGTGCATTTCTCATCGTCGAATTCCAATCTGAGTCTTGAGGGTGTGTCGCAAATCGCCTCAGCTATGGCTGCCCAGCAAGCTATCGCTGCTTGTGGAGTGGGATCGGAGTTCTGGGGCTCGCAGGGGAGGTTGAAGAGCAATGAGGTCGGAGAGCTGTCCAGGCAGCAGGCGCCCTCCTCGGGGCAGCAGGCTGGAGTGGTGAGAATGGCTATCAGCAGGAAAAAGAAGGAGGAGACTGTGGAGAAGGCGAGGCAGCAGCTCGAGGGGTGCCAGTTGATTGCTGGAATCAAGTACACCGGGTTGACTGTGAAGCAGATGCAGCAGCTGCGAAAGGCGTTGCCGCAGGAAACCACTCTCATGGTGGCCAAGAACAAGCTGATTGGTAATATTGATCTTCTTTTGCTTTTTCGAATTAGGTTTTCGCATTTGCAATGTCACATGTTGTGGAGTAAGCACGAAATTGGGGAGATGAATGACATGGTAGAGTTGTGACTTAGCAGGCAAGGCAATTGAGGGTACGGAATGGGAGGCTTTGAAACCCGCCCTTAAGGGCATGAATGCGTGGTTGTTCGTGCACACCGAGGAGATTCCTGGGGCACTGAAGCCCTACCGCGACCTGCAAAAGGAGCTGAAGCTGGATAGCAACGACTTTACAGGTGCAGTTTTCGAAGGCAAGTTTTATTCTCCTGAGGAATTTAAGGCTCTGGAATCTATGCCCACCAGAGCTGAGCTCTACGCCAAGTTGCTGGGTTCCATTCAAGGTCCTGCAGCCGGGCTTGTTAGCACATTGCAAGCTCCCGCTAGGGATCTTGTGTTTACACTCAAGGCATATGTCAAGAAATTGGAAGACGAAGCGTAGGCTTGACGTTTATTAACAAATTTAGTTCTCGTACTGTAGTCCTGGTTCCATCTTTCGCCCCCTCTTCATATCATCTTCACGAGTAGTGCTCCTATTTTTGAGGTGCATGTTTCTTATGAATGGGAGTGAGGGAGGTGTGATTATAGGATTACTTTGAGTTGAATTGAAACTGTAGTCTCAGTTTAGGTTTTGTAGTGTACCATTTTTACGGGCATGAGAACTGCTGAGGCTACTCAGCTTGCTTTTGCATAATTCTTACCAAAATTTGTCGAGCTTTACTTCGGTAGAGTATGTCGAGAGCTGAGAGCACATTTTGATAAATCGAGTGTTGCACATATTCTCATCATGTTCTGTGAATCCGAGTGTTCGCAAGAATCTGTGTACAACCACATGCTATGTCAATGTCAAGCCACCTTTGTTCCATGGTATTGTTGACCTATATTGTCTGTATTGAAAGACGTCACATATCAGTGATACCTCGGCAGAGGCTTGTAGTTGGGATCACCTGATTGGAAAATAGGGTTCAAATTTGACATCATAGTCCTCAACTTTCTCCCTAACTCCTTTATCGTACCAACCATAGCAACGAAGGTGATCAGCACGCAACCTTGTAGATTTTCGAAGAAATGCCCCCGGCGGTACGATTCTGTACTATCTATGACAATGTCACGCTCATTTGGATTGTCAGATTCCACCCACTTCATCAGCGACTGATTAGAGGCATCATTACAGCCAAGGCATGGGGAGTGGTGCAGAAAGTCCCTTGCGTGTTTACCACAACTTGGTGACTTCCTAACCATACATTGTGAGCGAATGTTGCTCTGTTTCAAGCTACTCCCTTATCAATCCCCTGAATTGCAACGTTTTGAGACAAAGAGTGAACGGGGTCCGCCGTCTCTTAAAGCAACGACCATGATCACTCTCTTGCTGATTACGTGGAAGCAAAATTGATGATTTTTTCTTCAATAGCGAGCTTGGTAGCGCGAGACAGGTTCTCGAAAGATGACCATCGAACTAACGCACCACCATGTCCTCATGTGAAAATTCACAGATGGTCACAGTTTGATTTGTTGGTGCTGCACCGTTTTGGTGTCTACATGCTTGAATCGCTCTCATGCAACACGAAGTGTTTGGGCATCTCTACACTGTTAACTTCCAGCTTTCGCATATTTCAAAGATAGACTGTTGCACAAACCAGGTGATTTGGCTAGAATGGAATCCCTGACATGAAACTCTCCCAGTTGTTCTTCTAAATAAATGGAAAGAAGTCGAAAATTGTCGATTGTTATGTGTTGAATACCATCTATTGTCACCATCAATTTTCACTCCAAATCTGTCTACCAAGTTGGTGGGTGGGTGATTACGAGAAAGAAAGAAGAAAAAAGAAAGAATTAATAATAATAATAATAAAAAAATGCATCAATCATCAATCCATGTTATTGTTTATTTTTCCATTTTTCATGATTCTGTAATTATTCTACACCAATGATAATAAAAATTACTGTAAACATTACACAAACATTAGCCCTAATTGATGTGAGCTATTTTTATCTTGACTTCCACAAACAGTAGGTTTCAAATTTATTTATCACGTAGTAAAGGTTCACTCCCGCACATTCCTTAAGAGTAATTCTTCCCAAATAACAAGTCCTTGAAACAATGAACCTCTCAGTGAAATCAGAAGTTGAGCCTGAGATAGCAGCAGGTAGTGACGAGGATTTATGAGACTCTTACACAAGCAGCGTTGGGTAGTAATGGGAGAGGTAGAGCTCTGCTACAAGCCACTCCCGAAACTGTTGCATTCGGCGTCCTGTTCTCGACGGCCGCAAATCGATCGTGGGATCTCTACGCCATCCAAGTCGAGATCGACGTCTTCGCACTCAGCCGAATCTAGAAATCTGGCTGGGTGGTGATCCTTGATTACGAAATCCTACCGTCTAGGTCAGCTTTTCCTCGCGGCACTGACTTCACTGCGTCGAACCGATTCCAGTCTGCATCACCGTAAACGTAAAGAATCTTCCAACAACCGGTCACATCTGCAGCAAGCCTCCAAGCCAAGCATCGACCCCTTCCAGGCCATTCCTCCAGGGCATGATTCACAGATATGTGGGGTCTCGTCCCTCAGACATCCAATCATCCTTCGCCCAAGAGCTTCACAGCCACACAACCTCCAGAAACACAAACCAACTCTTTCCAAACCAGGCTGTCGCTCTCTCTCTCTCTCTCTCTCTCTGAAACCTGGGTCCGAAGTTCCAGACCTAAACTGCAAGGAAGCGCCAACTGGACACACCCGAACCAAAACGATAAAGACGCTTGTTTTCGTAGAGAATTTTTGTGCACGACGAAAATCAACACTAGAAAATTTCCTTAGAATGATCGAACCCAAGTGGGTTTTCCAATCAACACCTCGACGTGCAGCGGAAAGCATGCAAGAAGTAGAAATGCGGTGCGTGAAGGTGATGGAGTGTGGGTGGTACAATATAAAAAGTGAACGATGCTTCCACTGAGAGTTGAACTGAGAACCTCACCCTTACCGGATTTTCTACCTCACTGTGTCAATGAAGTTGCCAGGATGTGGGGTTTCCATCTCCATACCTTTTGCATACTTATGCAGCACTCTACCATCTAAGCCTAAACCTGCACAGTAGTTAAAAGGTAAAAGGTTACAATTCTGCGCTTTTTGTGTTTGTTGGCAGGCGTTTCACCCTTGGTGGGACCTCCGTTGAGTGAAATGAATTGAGGTGGGGGTATCATTTTCTAAGTAAGTAGATCTTTAGTTGCAAAAAGATTACCTTCAATCCATATCTTTGTGAACATTGTTGTTTTCTTATATTATAATGTAGAGGATCAAGTGTGGTAATGGAGTTCTCTCCATGCTTCATATTTGATTTGAATTGTAGTCGTCCAAGCTTTGTATAAAAAGTATCCAATGTGAAATGGTTCTCAATTCTTCTCAAAATTGTACTTTGCGCATTATAGATTCCATAGGATTAAGGTCTTTAGCAAAAACTATGGAGTTTCTATAGAGGCCTAGATTGTAAATGTGAGTGTTGTTTTGTTGTCTATTATTGTTGGGTTAAGGTTATTACATAGTTGAAACAAGACGGGTCTATCTCGAGAGTCTAAGATCCTTCTAATCCATAGGAACATAAAATCTCATCACAAAGTAAGACAATGTCATGGACATATATAAGTATTCTAATAAATACCTATATGATTAAGTAGGAATAGGTACAAGTAGCTAAAAGTAGGTTAATTTTATTTGATCTTTTAGGATAGCTTCTTAGAAGCTTTATAGATGTTGCTTGACTGTACATGTATTTGTAGTTGATTAATAGGTTAGAAAATTGGTCAACAAGTTAACCACATCTTGATAGCTTGCGGAACAAGCTAAGTATGTGGTGCACATGTAGAAAACTTGTCTTGCAAGTTAAGATACATATTGTGCAAAGTCAACATGTTTTTGGACGTCCTATAGAACGTTGCTATGTAGCTCCTAAGTAGAGATTATATATAGAGGCAAGAGTGAAGCCTTCTTCACTCTTATCAACTCCTTTCTTGCTTATAGTCTAGTTTGAAAGGTCTCTAGTTTTCTTCTCTTTTGGCAATAGCCATTCTATTTCTTTCTTAATATACATATTTATTTATTTCTATTTTTTCATCTTTTTTTGAGAAAAATCTTACTTATTTATTTATTTTTATCGAGTTCTTATCCTTGACAGATTGATAAGAGTGCATTTACAATATCAGAGGTTTATTCAATCTTGATTAAGAGTGGATTACCCCTTTTTCTTCATAAGACATAAGCATATTAGAAGTTACGGATTATCCTCTTCTAAATTGATATTGTCCTTAGTATTTTCTTTGTTCTCAAGTCCTCTCTTCTATTTGTCTTGAGTGATATTAGATATCTTCTCTTTTTTAAATGTTATCATGGTAGAACTTGTTGAAATGAAGTGAACTTCTTCAAAGTCTATTAGAAGAAGTTGTATAATTAAAAGAAGTAAGTAGATCAACCTCACAACCAAATTCAAGGAGTTTTGTTTTTACAAGTATGATAAGGACAAGGATTAGTATGTCTAAGAAGTTTGATGGAATAAGATCAAAATTTCAAGGATTTTTTCAACAAGTCAAGCTCTATCTAAGGTTGCATCCTTTCTAATACTCGAATGGATTTACTCAAGTTGGATTCATAGGCACACTTCTATTAGGAAGTGCTCTCTTTTGGTTTATACCTTTAATAGAAAAAGATTTGTGACTCTTTTATGATTTGAATTCATTCTTAGAAGTTTTTATGGCCTCATTTGGAGAAAGTGATCAAGAAAGAGTAGCAGAGACTAAGCTCTTATGTTTACAACAAAGATCATGGTCAGCTATCATATATACTACTGAATTCCAAAACCTCACTTGTGACGTGGATTGGAATGACAAAGCCTTTATCAATCAATTTTGATATGGGTTGAAGGATAGTATCAAAGACTTATTATTGACAATACCAAAGGTAGAATCTTTAGAACAATTCATTGCTCAAGCCATTATATGTGATAATTAATTATTTAAAAGACTTTAAGAAAAAAGATTTGGCTAGAGAGGAAGAAATCAAATAATGATGATAATCCTTAAATTTTTAGAAATTTATTCATCAAGGCCAAACTCAATGCAAATTAATACGATACGTTTTAAATCTATCATAGAGCACGAAAAGAGTCAATGACATCAAGAGGGCTTATGCTTATATTGTAGAGAAGCTAAACATATTGTTCAATATTATCCAAAGAAACAATGAAATTATAAAATGAGAATCACGATTCCTAAAGAAGACAATGTGTCAGAAAACAAATTGCTACAATTACAATAGGGATCATGTAGTTAGAATCATGTATAACATCTAGTGAGGGTCTTATTCTCTCCTCAAATTCCTCATTTTTTTCACAATAGAAGTCTATTTAGGATCAAAAAATCACAAAGTCTTAGTCTTGTCAGTTTCAAGAGCCTGAGCTTGTTTTAAAAATGAAGACTTTGTCAAAAAACAAGATATATCTCTAGTTAAGAAAATCAAACATATGTATATAGAAGTAATAGATAGATGTTCATTATCTTTTGGAGATGTTATACATAAAATTACTCTTGTAAAAGTAGCAACTAATATTTATAATAATTTAGTAATATTTAATGTAATTAAATCTCCTTCTAATCCAATTTTTTTTAGGATTATTGTGGCTAAAAAGATATAATCCTCAAGTAGACTAGATTTCTTGCAATCTTGATTTTTTCCATAGTTTAGTACAAGGTCTTGCTAGGCAAGTAGAAACCTATAAGTCTAATACATTCAAACTATTATTCATAGGTGGGAGAGCTTTCATACATGCAATAAATGAAAGCCCATCTTTGCTATATATACTACACCTATTGCTAATAGTG